GGTGCTGCAGTCCACGATGGTGGGTATAGAGCCCACCAGGACTGCACAGTGGGTCACATAGTGGGTATGGAGCCCACTGGGACTCTGCAGTCCAGGATGGTGGGTATGGAACCCCCCAGGAATGCTGGAGCCCAGACTGGTGGGTATGGATGCCCCAGGACTGCTGCAGCCCAGCACACCTTGGAGCAGCCCAGAGCAGGGGCAGAGGTGCTCAGTTTAGGGTGTCAGATTCCAGCCAGGCTGTTGGGATGTTGTCTGAACATCGAGAGGCAACTAAATGGTTAAAAAGTGTCTTTGCAGACAGCCCCCACTGCTGCTCCCCCAGACATCCTGCACCCCTTCCACAACCAGCACAAGACATCTCCCACTTCACATCAGTACTCCCAGTGCTTCTTTCCACCCTCCTCACTGGAAGCAGAAGCTCCCCAGCCCATCTGGGTTTTGTGCTTTCATGCCCTCCTGTTCCCCAGCCCCAGTGCCAGCTCCCACAGGTAGTTCCTTAAGGATCAGGTTCTTAGCAGAAGGGATTAAAGGAGGGCTGAGCCCTGACTGCCCTGTTATATTAATTTAAATGTGGCAATGAGTGGAGCTCTTTCATCTCTTTAAACTTGCCATGGATGCCCTTGCAAGTCAATCCACAGGGCAGGTACCAGGAGAAAGCAAACTTCCCTGTTTTCCTGTCCCTGCAGGTGCTGAGTGACTCCCTGGATACCAAGTGTAAATGCCACGGTGTTTCGGGCTCCTGTTCAGTGAAGACCTGCTGGAAGGGACTGTCAAGCCTGGATGAAATTGCCTCTAACCTCAAGTCCAAGTACCTGGCAGCCATCAAGGTGTCCCACCGGCTCGTAGGGCCCAGGAAGCAGCTGATAGCCAAGGATATGGATGCCAGGCCAGTGACAGAGACAGATCTGGTTTATCTCATCAACTCTCCTGACTACTGCACCCCAAATCTCCAGCTGGGGTCTCTGGGGACACAGGACAGGTAATATGCTCTAATTTCATGACTGTCTGTACTGTTGGGTTTGACAGCAGGTCCTGGGAAGTGGTGTGGGTGGGCTGAGCACAGGTTGCCCAGAGAAGCTGTGGCTGCCCCATCCCTGGAAGTGTCCAGGGCCAGGTTAGATGGGACTTGGAGCAACTTGGGCTGGTGGGAGGTGTCCCTGTCCATGGCAGGGGGTGGGACTGGATGGGCTTTAAGGTCCCTCTCAACCCGAACCATTCCATGGCTCTGTGGTCCTGCTGTGGCCAGGACCAGCCCGGGTGGGCAGGTCCCCCAGCTCAGCACCCTCCTCTCCACAGGCAGTGCAACAAGAGCTCGGTGGGCAGTGCCAGCTGTGCCCTGCTGTGCTGTGGCCGTGGGTACAACACGTACACGGAGGAGGTGGAGGAGCGGTGCCACTGCCGCTACCGCTGGTGCTGCTCCGTCGTGTGCAGGAGCTGCCGGCGCAGGGTGGAGAGACACGTGTGCAAATAACAGCCCAGGGCTCTGCTGGTGCCCTCCAGGAACAGCTGGAGACCAGACACCCATCCCAGGGGGTGCTCCGAGCGAGGAGGGGGCTGTGCAGGAAGCCTGGCCTCACATTGCCGTGGAAAACCTCACCCTGAGAGATTCCGGGAAGCCTCCGGTCCCTTCCAACCCGAACCTGAGGGCAGGACAAAGGGCTGCCCTCCTGCAGCTGGGCAGTGTCCAGCCCTGCCTCCAGCTGGGACCAGCCATTGATCACTCCACAGGAACAGCCCAGTTCCTGTGTGAATGGGGACCCTGGGCTGCCATTGTCCCTTTGCAGGAGGTTCTGACAGCCAGGAGTGATGGATGGGAAGGGGGCAGAGTTATCCATTGGGAGAAGGCTGGAGGGACAGAAAGCTGCTTTGGGTCAGGGGATCATGGGCAGCTCCTCTGGGGACAATTCTGCCATGGGCTCACCCAACACCACTGGATGTTCTTCCTCTGGAGCAAACACTGGTCCAGGGCCACTTGCAGCATCAGAATAAAGACCAGGCTTGGACACAGATAGAACCAGCCACTGCTCCAGGAGCCAGGACTCATCAGTCCTCCCCAAGACCTGCATGGACATGGCTGCTGCTCTCATTGGTGGCAGACAGACCAGGGACAGGGAGAGGTCCTGGAGGCTGCTAAAACAGGGGAAAACTGCTCCTACCAGCTGTGGGTTACCAACACTGCTATGGCACCACTGGAGCTTCTGCCCTCTGGGCTCCTCTTGGAGGTGGAAGCCCACTCAATGCATGGAATCCTCATGGCTTGTCCTTCCTGCCATTTCTCTTGGACCACTGAGGTCTTTAGCCCACTCTTTCCACTCCCTCAGGACCAGGTGTGCTGGAAGTCTGGCCTGGAGAGGGGACATGACTCTGGGGCCCTGGGGAAGCAAGAATGAATCTTTAGTCTCTGTACTTCCTGTAAGTGGGATTCTGGTGTGTGTTTTTTAAATAAATGTGTTCTATCCTAACTCTCTATGGCTTGTTTTGTAGGACAACCTCCTTCCTCCATCTCTCTCTCAGCTGGCCCAGAGAAAGTGAGGGTGTAAGGAGGGCACAAAGCCCTGTGTCCATACAGCCCTGTGTCCTTACTTTTCCTTACATGGATCTGAGGACCAGTTCACTTTTAATTCTTTCTGCTACTCACTGCCCCAGATTTGTCTGTAATTACAGGTACCTGCCAGTCTCAGCTCCTGCTCACACATGGAAGGTTTTATCACCAGCCAGCAAAGAATCCGCCTTCCTGGGATTCAGGGCTGGTGGTTGGAAACCGGGGCAGTCCAGGATTGTTTTCTGATCCTTGGGAATGTGAGCTGGACTAGCCAAGTGTGTGTGTGAACAGTGAGGGGTTGGGGCTCTGGTGGCCCCCATTTCCTCAGTGAGGAATCTGGCCAAGCGCTTGGATGGGATAAGAGATTCCTGTTCGTGCAGCCCTTGGAGAGAAAGGATGAGTCCAAATACACAGGTGCTGCAGAGACCCCACAGGTAAATGGGCTGGGAATCATCGGGTGATTTCCTGCAGCTCACACCAGGACCTGGTGTGCTCCTGCTTTATTTGTCGTTCCCAATGAATGGAGTTGGCAGCGCTCAGCCCGCGTCCAGCTGGACGATTACTCATTTCCATATTCATTCAATCATTTTTAACAGTCTCTGCTGGGTCACGGAATCAATTCATGAGCTTTTCTTGTAAACCATCCCCTCCCCTTAATGTGCTCCAGGTTTCTGCGTGAGCAGTGAAGGAGAGTCAGAGGTGGCTTGGGATGACCCTGGGAGCCGGAGGCTGTGCCTGTGTTCTCGCAGTTAAAGGAGTGAGTTAACCATCGTTATCAGTTGTTAATGAGCCATTACTGGCTCTGCCTGCTGCCCTCTCCCTCTCCGAGCGCCAGGAAAGCTGCAGCTGCCAGACTTCCAGCGCAGCTGCCCAAGGCCAAAAGTTATCTCGGGTTTTTCTTTTAAAATGCAATTAGGGTCAGTCCTCTGCATTCCTCGGAAAAGGGAGTTTCAGCTGCCAGGCTGCGAAACAGCTGCAGTTTCTGTGTCCGGAGGGATGCAGGTACTTAATTAGGAGGATTACTTAAATGCTCCCTCCATCCACCTCCCAGCGCACCCCAGATCAGAGGAGGTGACAACGGGAGGGGCTGCGAACTCCACGGAGCGTTGCAAAACGAGCTGGTGAGAGGAAAAAACAGGGGGAAGGATCGTGTGGAGTGAGGGCTCCAGCCAGGAGGGTGGGAAATGTGATTTGCATTTGGTAACTACAAACACACACAGCCTGGGGTGGAGGAGAGGAGCCACAATAGCAAGGAATGCCCGGGGGAGCTGTCACGATCCCCTTCCAGAGAGCTCCCATCGGAATTTCTGCCTGGAAAGAAAAGCAGGGTCAAGTGCTGAATATGCAGAATCCACTCCTCCTCTCCCTCCTTGACTCCAAGCCCGACAGGGAAGAGCTGGGGAGGGACTGGAGGGGTCACTCAGCCCCCGGGATCCCGGCTCCGTTTGTGTCCTGCGGGAAAGGGGAAGGCGCACTAATTAGTTGGAGGGTGTAAAGGGTCGGGCAGGAAGGAGGTGACAGCTCGGTGACAATGCTCTGACGGAGGGTGTTGGAATCCGGGCCCGCACCTGGAATTAGCAGGGATGTGAGACCTGCTGAGCTGGAACGACCCCCGGGGACCAGGAGCCAGAGGATGGGTGCAGTGGGAATAGATGCTGTGCTTGGCCCAAGGGGGTGGGGGGATCCCTTGGCTGGTTGTGTTTTCTCCCTCTAACCCTGTTTGGATGGAAAAGCCAGGGGGAAGGTGCCAGAGGAACAGAGCTCCTTCCCCCAGCCCGGGCCAGCACAAGCAGTCCCTGAGGTAAAAAATGGGAAAACTTGGACCCTGTTATCACTCTCCAGTGGCTTCCAGCACCAGTCAGTGCAACGCTCTGCCAGAGAAATCGGTGCAAGAAAGCTTTTCTTGAGCCTTCTGTGTCTTTTCTTCCACCCCAAACACCTCCAGCTCTGGCAGGGACCCAGATAATCCCGGGCAGTGTCCCCAAAACCGAGACCATCTGTGTCTGTGACAGTTGTGGCTTTCCAGCCCTCCAGACACTTCCTCAGGCGGTTCCTTGTCCTCTCCAGGCTGTGACAGGCTGCTGGCACTGCCCTCTGCCCCCCCAGCCCTCCCTGCTAATGTGACAGATCTACCTCCTCGACATTCCTGTCATTAGCCTTTTTTTCCCAACGTCTTGTGGCTTTTTGTTTACCCATCTCTCTGGAAATGAGACTCCCCAGAGCCAAATTCTCCCCAGCCATGGCAGGAGCCTTTCACACTCTGATGCTGTGAGCTGACATGGGAGGGATGGCTCGGAGAATGGCTTGTGCAGGGAAGAAAACCATCCTGCTCCATGGAATGTGGTGAGATCCGGGCAAAGGGTTTTCTCTGAAAAGGCTCCTCTCCATTATGCTGGACTTTAATTTGGGTTTTAAGGGAGTAACACTGGTGTGAACGTGATCATTTGCTGCTGGTCATACTTGTGCAGACAACAAAGTCTGGAGAAAAGTCCCTTATTTTCATGGACTTATTTATTTTTCCTTTTATTTCCTTATTCACTGAGGAATGCTGCATAACTCATTCCAGGAGGGTTATCTGAGCAGGGAAAACAAGCTGTTGGTAATTAAGTATTTTGGAGTAAGAATGACTCTGTGTTCAAGGACATGTTGGGATGTTTCTTCCCTACAGGCCTGGATTGCAGCTTGGACTGGAATGTGGATCAGGACCTCCACCTGCCTTTCCTTGTGCTCTTCCCAAGAGAAGAGAGGAGAAGGCCTGGGACAGGGCTCAGCTGTTGGTCAACATCTTACAGAATCATGGAATCCTGAAATGGTTTGGGTTGGGAGGGACCTTAAGGATCATCCAGTTCCACCCCCTACCATGGGCAGGGACACCTTCCACTAGACCAGGTTGCTCCAAGCCCTGTCCAACCTGTGCTGCTGGAAATATTTGGGGGATGTTGCTCTGACCTTTGGGATGGTTGGGCCCTACACTGTCACACCACGAGATACACACATGAGTAAATGCCTGTATTGAAGGAAAAACCCTTCCATCTCTGTTCTCCTTTATTCCTGGGGTACTCAGCAATATCATGATGCTCTGAGGATGACAAATAACAACAGGGATTGTCCTCTTGGGGATCTTCAGCTGAGGGTCAGGGACAGATCAACAGAGGTGAGTAAGAGCCATGAGACCTGAGGGGGAACCAGCTGCAGCCTGGGGAGCTTTGGGATGTGGCAATGGCTGTGTGGGGTTTGGAGGGGAAGCAGCCATCCATCCCTTAGGATCGTGGAATCCTGGAATTTGCACTGGAAATGTCTTTTGCTCTGGTCCTTAAAGTGCTGCTGAAACTTTGGCTCCTGGCAGTTGCAGGGGCGATGGTGTGACAGGTTTCCTGCAGCTTTTAACTAACACATGGGAAGGGGAAGGTGCTGCCTGGAGAGAGGCTTTGCTCTGGTGGGAGTGAACTGGTTGTAGCTGGAGCATCTTCTGCCGGTGAAGAACAAATTGTTGTGGATTCCTGGCTCCATCCCGCCTCTAAAGATTATAGTAATGAATTTTCCCAACTTGTTCCTCACCTTCTGCCCATGCAGGAACCCCCTGGACATCCCTCCCAGCCGGGTGGTCCCAGGGAGGTGACAGGAGGTGACACAGCCAGCCAGAACCCAAACCCACAACCCTCCAAGCTTCTGTGAGTAACATTTTATGGCACAATCCGACATAGGTGTGAAGAAAACAAATGGAATAAATCATAAACTGAGTAATTGTTAGAGGCTGAGTTAGAAATACTCAGCAGTAGTGGCTGCTCGCAACCAGGTCAATCACCTCTGTTATCACCTGTATTTCTGAGGGAGCAATGCCAGCTCCTAAAAGCCCAGATTTAACTCTGACCTGGCTCGTTCCTGGTTGAATTTCGGAGATTTTAGGAGATAAATAAAAAAGAAGTGAGAAAAGTGCTGTGTCCCCCTTGTGCTGTAGAGAGAATAGAGATGAAATGGAAGGTGCTGTGCTTGAAACCAGATCGATATTTATTAGCAGCAGCTCATATCGAGGATTCATACTGTGTATCCCTTTTATACAGCGGGAAGGTGGATGTTTTGTAGCAATTTATCCAATTGTCCCAATTTTTCCCAGTTTCCCAGCCGACTGCCCTAGGGGCTCCCTGCCAGGACCTGGCGTGGTCGGTGCCAGGCAGGACCTGGCAGGGAAAAGCGTGGGCTCACTGGGGGCCTGTGAGAGCCCAGAGCCGCACCGAGGCGCGCCTACCCACCGCCCTGCGCCCACCGCGGGGGTCTCGTGGGGTTCCACAGCCGGGGGATGATCGCAGAGCCCACCGGGCCCGGTGCCGTCCGTCCGACCTCCCCAACGTGGCGCTGCCGCGTTGCCGTTG